GACAATCCCTCCAGTATTATTCTCGCATGTTTCCAGTAGCAACAGTTTTGACAATCTAAACTAATCTAAAATGGGAAAGTAAAAGTCTAGTTTAATATCAGATATGGAGAAAATAAGCTTATTGCCATTATTTGGAGCATGAGTGTTCATGAGCTGTTTCAGTTGCAAAACTTTTAATGGAGTCATGGCCTGGGCAGAGTGTAGCAGTAATCTTCGCATCTAATCCTGAGTATTTTGGCATCTGTTGCATAACCAATCACTGCCTGATGGTCAACCCTGCTAACTATATTTTTACCAACCACATTCCAAAGTCAGTGTTTCCCCAAAGCCAAACTTAAGAGAACAGGGCTTTCCCCGTCATGTCTCTGATTCCTAGAGGAACTGTTGCTCAATTCCCCCGATGTCCTCATCAGATGTTTTTCCTTTGAATTCATAGCCTGCCTGCTTTCCCTCTCCTCGCAGCTCTGCAACACAAATTGGGCTAAAACATTAATCAGAATAATCATGACTAATCAATTATTGAAATGATCGTTCACTAAGTTAGTAATCAATTAATTGTTTAATGGAGTATAGAGACTGTAAACATGCCTTAAGCTGATAGAGCGACCCACTTAGAGCAGTCATTATATCAAAATTGTAAATGAATATATAAACATTTTGCATTTAAGATAACAAAACTTTTTTGTTTGTCAATATGCTCCATCCAGAACTCCTTAAATGGAAACTTTTAGTTTCACCTGGTTTAATAATAATAATAAAAAAAAAATCTTCCTTTAAGGAATCTTTGGCGATCCGACTAATTATCGATTAATCAAAAAATAATCGACAGATTAATCGATTTGCAAACTAATACTTAGTTGCTGCCCTAAAAACTGATGTCTCTCAGAAGTATGTTAAAACTAACCTCTAGGCCTCCCTGAAACGACTCCCTGCGAGTCCCTTCTTCCTATAAACAGAGTCGGCTTTGGATCATTCACTCATCTATCACCTTTAGTCATAACCTTTTGGAACTAACTCCCTTTCCTTCAGTGAACTAATCATTGTCCCCAGGTTTTTATCCATTCCATTCAACATTCTGGATTAAAATATTTATTGATAAACGTTACAATTATATATGGCTACTATATCTTATTGTTGGATGATGTATAAAGCGGAATTGGTTATAACACAGGGGACTGTAGTGAGCTGTGCTTGGCCTTCTGTTACAACTTGTTTTATGCCTTGTAATACCTCTAAATAATTTTTCATTATTCCTCTGTCCCAATTTCAAACTCCTTTATGACTAACTTTGGTGGTTTCTGTCTAGACATTATAGATTTATAGATTTCAGTTATGAGAAAAAAATAAATCATACTACCTTGGTCAGCTTTTACATTCTTTCTCACACATTTGAGAGGCTTTCATATAGCCTCTCAAGAAAAACCTTTACTTCCTGTTAAGGATTGAAATAACAATCCTAACCTTATAAAAGCAAAACAATTCAAACACTTTCCTGATAACACCGGATGCAAAGGTACACTTTAAGAAGTCAATGGAAGCTTTTTCAGGACCTATTTGTTTAGCCTTTAAAATATTTTGCTTCTGTGAGGATTCTGACAAATTCCATCTATTTGCCTTTATGCATTTCCTTTACAGGAAAAGGTGTCCAAATTTAAATAAAGCTAATACAATGTTTATTATTAAAATCCACTAAAAATGTACTTATTAATATCAAAATGTTCTTTATACAAACATTTTTTATACACATGTAACAGCAGAACTTGTCTGATAAAATTGTGAGCTTTTATATTTGCTTTTATTAAATTAACACTGAGACAATATCAAGGTTTAAGTTTGGTCAAAGTAAACACCCTGCTTCATTTCTGCTATTATTGCTTGTGTAAAAGCAATCCTGAAAATTCTTCTGTTCTAAGAAAATAGAAATAGTAAAGCCCCGATATGTATAGATTATTTGGACATTATAGTAATAGTTTTCTAATGCATTAAAAGCTTCTATGAAATGTTTGAGCAAAAAATAAATCAACTTAACTGCTATTTATGTCACAAACACATGATACAGTAAACAACTTAAGTATTTATTAACAGAGGATTTAATTCACAGCAATTTCTTTTCACAACACAGTCTTTAAATGACACTTAACCCTTTGAATAAAACATTGGGCACTTTGATCAGACAATGAACAAACCAGTGGATTTCTTCATGGCAATCTTCTATTAAAAACAGCACATCCACCGCTAGGACATTTGGAACTGCCTTCTATTTTTATTCTTTTTATAATAAAGAAAGCAGTAACACACTGTTGGTTTCTTACATGGAGTCAAACAAGCAAAATTTTTTCATTTTTAAAAGTAGTTTCTTTTCTTTAAATATGTATGCAGTTTAGTTTTGGGGGCTAAAGAGAACACATTATCAAGATTAGATAATATAGATTTTTTGGGAAGTGAATAACATTGATTAAAAGAACAGCCAACACTTTAGTCCTGTCAGCTGGCATTGATGCCTCAACAGTTTGCATGTTTGTTCTAAGTCAAAAGCATATTTCTGTTGAGGTTTATTTGAGCATTGTATATACACATACAGACAAGTCAAATCCTTAAACAGTGAAAAAGACAAACTGATGGATACGAAAGAGGGTTAAGGCAAGGATATAAAAATAAAGAAATAGTAAAAACAATTGACATGTTGCTTTTCTTATTTAACTTACAACGCTCAGATCCTAAAAAGCTGTGGTAGTGAGAATTATTCACATAATTAGATTCTTTACAGCACCCTTCCATTTACACTGTATTTACAGCAGTACAGAACTTACATACACAAAAAGAAAAACAAAAATAGACTTAAATGAACAAGATTTGTCTATGAAAGCAAAAATATATTTTTCAATTTGTCAGTATGTAAAACATTTACACAAAGACAAACAGTGAAGTACAACAGTCACTTTATATCAAATCAGTCAACAGAGAAATCGTCTAATTCAAATTTTGTACAAATTTCTGCCTTTAACTCATAGACATAGTTCACATTAACTGCATTCCCTTGTGTGTGCGCTTTGTGCACAATTTTGTTTTCTTTTTACAACATATACTGTGTTATAAAATAACAGGAACTGACAAACATGCTGGTGATATCCAAAATGGTGAACTGGAAAACACAGCAGCATCCATGGGTCATTAGTGAAATGGCAGCCAGGCCGTTTTCTTGTAACTACAAGGGATAAGCAGAAGCCAAATGGAGTGGGTTCCTATATTTAATTCCAAGTTATATTAATGAATAAATTAATGAACAAATGAATAAATGAATGAATGAATGAATGAATGACGTTGCTCAGAGAAACCGATAAAAAAAAGTTAGTCACCTTCACTTATTTTACCTAGTAAAATTACCAACTTCCATGTGTTGTTACATTATCATATATTGTCTTAAGATTGTATGTGATAGGCCAACAGAAATTGACTTAATGTGAAGTAAAAAAATAATCCAGATATGAATGACAATGGGAATGTTCACATGCAATCAGACCCTTTATGTTTGAAACCCCTCAAATAAACCCATTGCAACCCTTTTCCGTCACAGTCCTCCTATTTAGTAAATAAAATTAAATAAAAAAAAAAGATGAATTTCCAATTGACATATAACTCTTCTTTTGAGTGGTCTGACATTACTATTAGTTGTTTTAAACTTCAGTGAGCAAGACAAGAGTAAACTCCAGTAAGATCAAGTGTGTCGCGGAGTTGCTTAAAGCCGGGAGATGTCAAAAAAACAATATCTCAAGCTTTTGATATCTAACAAACACTGTTAAATAAATGGTCTAAAATGGAAAGCAACTCGGAACCTACTAAGGCTTGCCTTTGCACGTAAATGGAAACCTTCAAGGAAGGAAGAATTTTAGTCACAAATGCAGCTGAGTGACTCTTCTTGACTGTAATAAAATACAATAGAAAAGACTCAAACTTTAGATAATACAATGATAATCTGCAAACAAACCTGATGAGACTAGAGAAAGGCTCCAAAGCATAGAAGTGAAGAAGGAACGCAATAAGGTGTCAGAACTGCAGCAGAGGAAGCACTGAACTGTGCTGCCTTATTAAGCCTTGATGTCTGTAAACAGATTCAACACTTGGTGACCTCTTGGCATAATCAAATCCAGGGCTGCGTGACATGGCTTTAATCACCCCCCTCTCTCCAGCTTTCTTTTTATTTTCTCCTTATATTTGTCCCCCTGCCATTCTTTGTGCCATATGGTGCTGAGGCAGCAGAGCCCTGGGAGACGCAGAGGAGGTCCAGCACATCACTAGCCGATGTGATTTAATCAACAGCTTGGGCTGGTGTTTGTTCCGACTTGAAAGAAGTGGTTGTGATACATCACACTGTCTGGATAATGAGAGTTTTTTGGTTAAATGTTAGCATCTGCTCATCATCTTCATCCAAGAGAGATGACAGTGATCCTGGTGGAAGATATTTGAGGCAGAAATGTGAAGGAATAAGGAAACTATGCCACAGTACGGAGGGTTAAAACTTTGAGGAAGGAGCCCTGTTCTGATTTTGGCTTTTCATTAACATTAAGTGAACAGATCTCAATGTTCACCATCACCTGTTAGGGCACTAATACATTATATCTATTATCAGTAGATAACTGAGTAACACTTTTAAGCTTATTCAAAGGAATATTGACTAAAATACAAAATGCATGGTCAAAATATATAACTTTATAAAAAGAAAAAGCTCTTAAACTACTTTATTTATTCAGTTATTTCCACACTGTAATGTGGAGCTGCCAACCAAAAAAAAAAAAAAAGGAAATTGCAGGAGGAAAAAATATGTGTGCAATACATGGAATACAGTACATTTTCTAAGATGGAAAGATGGAACAAAAAAATCTGAGAATGGAGACTATGGGTGTATGAGGAAGTTTTGACCTCCATATCACAATCTTTTTATGTTTTTAAAAGAAGTTTAGCAATGTCTAAAGTGTTTTTTTTTTTATTACTTTGCATAAAAGAATATTTCCCAATTTGGAAAGCCATCAGCAGGAAATCTTAGTGCTGGACTGATCCTATGTAATATTATATTGTACTAAAACAACACCTTTTCTCTAAGACAAAAGATTGAAAATTAACGGATTGTTTTTGTTACAACAGTAATATACGTTTTGTGACATCTTTCTTAAGATGACCAAGTGAAAGTGAGCCAAAAATCAGGAAATATAGAGGGATGGAGCACTAAAGCATGTGATCAGCTGGTGCCCTTGTTTGGTTGGTTAAGTTTGCACGCATTTTCTTAAGACATTAAAGTAAAAAAAGAAAAAAGACAAACAGAAAGACACAAACACTACACACTGACTTAGCGTGACGATGACCTCAGTCTTCTCCTGAGTCACACATACTTGCTCGCTGCTCATCATCAGATTTGTGGCGCAAAGGTGCCACTTCGACACCCAAAGTCTGTCCGGTGTGTGTTTCCTGTGCACACACTGTCATGCACTTGTTCTTGTGCGAGTCTCTCTTATGAATCCAGAGGGAAATTTGTCTGATGGAGGAGGCCGTGTGACAGTCCCGTTGTGAGAGGAGGAGAAAAGGGAAGGGTATCAATTGTTCTGAAGGCAGTCGAGATCCACAGAGCAACACACCTTCCCGTTCTGAACAACACAGCATGACAAGACAAGACAGTAGAAAGGGCATTAAATAATGCATACTTGCTATTCATTATACATGTTTATTATTAAGTACAGACAGTGAAGCATTGCTACCTAAGAAGACTAAATTTTTTATGTTATGGAGATGGTAACTCCGAATTTAACATCAACAGCCTTGTAGATGAAGAACACATCCCATTGCCTGAACTGCTGGCATTCTGTGATGAGCATTAATATCAATTATCCACTTATCCAAGGTTGAGACAAACACAATACCATTAGTCATAAAAGTATTATGTTGTGTTCAAATTTATTCAAAAGACAATGTTGGGGTTTCTTCTGTGATTTCTCTGTGTTAGTATTAACTGAATAGTTTCTTTCATACCAGCACACTGGTTTATAGCTGTCCTTTGCTGACATTTAGTAAACAGCCCATGTTTTCTGGATCATTAAAGATCTTCCTTCTTTGCTGAGATTGAAAGAAATGGATGAAGATCTTTTCTAATGCAACACTAGGCAGTGGAGAAGTACGTCTGTCTGATGGAAGCAAAGGACTCCATTTTAATGATTGGTAAAAATCTTTGTATTTTGTTTTGTGCTTTAATTTTACCATTTTGCTGTGTAGTTATCATATGTTGGCTTGAATTTGTTTCCTAATTTTAGTTATGCATGTTTGACTTAGTATTTAGTGGGCTAATTTTCTTTGCATTTTTAGTTCATTATCAGGAGAATGTTTGCATGTACAGTAATCCCTAGTTAGGTTTTCTTGGTTGATATCTTAAATCGGGCCCCTTTCTTTACTTTTAAAGTATTTGTATTCCTTGATTTTTTGGAAATATTAAACCGAGGATATTTTTTTTTATTCCTTTAAGTTGCATTTCCTATTCAATCAATAGCTTTTATTTGAAGAGACTGATTTCTGCCTTTCAATGCAGTGTTTTAGAGGAAGAAATTATGAAATTGCAAGAGGGGTTATAAGTAACACCAAACTGGTCTATCTCTTTACTGTAAGTAGATGGCAAAGACGATATCTATATTCATAGACTTAAAGCGTAAGAAATAAGATAACTACTGTAAGAATGAAATGACTCTGTAAAAAAAGTATTTTGACTTGTAGATGAAACATCCAAGCAAAGTTTTAAAGTTATATAGAAATTATAATTTTAGTTATTAGTCACACCAAACAAAGACCAAGGACACTAACAGGTGGGTCAGTGATTTGCATCTGACTCAGAATGTTCTACTTAAGATGAGCCTCCATGTGCTTGAATACAGCAGCGCTCCAACTACAAGTTGCTTTAGTGAAAGCCCTCAGAACTGACAAAGACTCCTGAGAGGTTGCAAGAATCTTTTCATAAAACCTGAATGCCTTTTCAGTATAGCCCTTAAGAACAGACAAGTATGCCTTGAGAGTACGGATGATAGCCTCCAGATTTTTTTCTTGGTAATTTGAAGGTATGCAAATCATTTAGTCTGAGTAGACAAAGATGGCTATGCATCCAAGATGTATGTTAAACAAGTTCAGTTAAGATTTGTTAAGATTTTTTTGATCTAAATCTAATCTAAAACAGTTATCTGCAACAAAAAACAAGAAGTGACTGGAAAAAAATGAATTATGTCAATGTGTTTTCAGACCTAAAAAGCAGAGAGCATCACTGTTTGTTTATGTTTTTTAATGTTTGAACAAAGTAAAATTCTTATAGGATTCAAAGCAGACAAATTTTATGGAACTAAAATTATGTAGTGGAGGGATTAGAATTAAGAATAGATCTTGACTATTTTCTGATTTATTAATTTGTTTTTTGTGTTATTTTGGTTCAGCAGGTCAAGATTACTTTGCCTTTTCAACTTTGGTTGTAGTGAATGCGGAAATCTGTATGTTACTGTATTCTTAATACAAAACTGAGAAAAAATTAAAAGCGCCTGTTTATACAAAACTAGATTTTTTTTTCTCTAGAGGAAAAAATATTCAATACTTAATAGAAAAACTGTTTCACACTCAGTTTAGTTTATCGTTATATGAAGACATTTTATCTTGCTAAATAGAGCAATATTGGCTCTAGCTTGACATTAGTAGCTTTTTCCCTCTCAAATGGCAATGAGACACATTGACTACGCCGCTCTTTTAACACAGAATAATCTATAACAACACAGTAAGCACAGAAGTAAGCAAGTGGCTAGGGTATAATGGCTTTGCTTTATGTGAACAGGAAAATAACTGAACGTAGTTAAATGGAAATTGTTTGTAATGTAGTCATTATGTGGCAGGGGGCAGATCTGTTTGGCAGCATTACTAAAACAAGTTTAACTTTAAAATGTATCACATTCAGAAGGATTATAAGTTGTAAAAACCTTGTCATCCTTTAAAACATTTTGTTTTTTGGGTTTGAAAAGGAGCTGCATGGTAATTGCTGATGCATTGACCTACCTTACACTTGCAGACAGTGCAGGGTGACTTGGGCATATGCCATGTGTCCCCACTGAGGCGAGTGACGCCTGCGGGGTCCATGCATGTCTGCCGAATGTCGTAGGACAGGTTGTCAGCCAAGCAGGGGTCTGTGACACAGCGTGGGCAACATTCCCCCTCTGCCACTGCCGTGTACTCGCACAATAATACGGGACAAACTAAAGGCCAGCAATCAACCTCCCCTTCCTGCAGAGACACGGACAAGTTTAAAAGAAAGGAAAAAGATAAAATGACATTCTTCTATTAGAAATTAGGCAATTATCTTAGCCTTCACAGACAGATGAACAGAATATTAGTGAATGATATCAGGATATATATTTATTATATATTTAAATGAAAGATGCACACATTCAGAACCTTAATATGTTCTGTAAATCATATACATGTTGTCTTATATACACACCAAGCAGCGACACTGCTGGCAACCGTACAGCCAAGACGCTCCACTGCGGTACAGCGTTCGTCCGCTCTGGTCAAGACACTGACTGCTCGGCCTGTTGTCACAACTACGACAGCAAAACAGGTCCTCATCTGGGTCTGCACAGTCACAGGGTCTCCTCCTGCAAAAGGTCTGTCCATCCTGTGCAACAAGGGTTATAGTGGTAACATCCATATTAATACAGTTCTGAATGCAACACATGGCAGATATTTACATACAATATGAAACTGAAAATAAATGACCAAAAAATAAAGTACTTGGACTCTTTAAACTAATTAATGAGTAAAATCCACATAGAAATAGATTTATATCTAAATTTGTCAAAATGAGCTACTGCAAGAAGGTTTTGGGTTCGATTCCCGGCCTGGGGTCTTTCTGCATTGAGTTAGCATGTTCTCCCGCGAGCATGCGTGGGGTCTCTCCAGGTACTCCGGCTTGTCCTGTTTGTCTCCGTTTTGCCCTGTGATGGACTGCCGACCTGTCCAGGGTGTACCACACCTTGCGGTCCCAATTGGGATTAAGCATAACAGAAAAGGGATGGATGGATTTTTCAAAATAATAAACTACATACTTCAAAAATAATTTTAAAAAGTTGTTATTCTTTTTTTTTTTCTCATTTTCTTTCTGGCTGATATACTGTATATATACTGCTTTTTTCCTCGCTGTTAAATCAGACAAAGGTGATTTTTAGTGAAGCAATGATAAAAAAAAAAATTACTTTTTTTTATTTATGTCAAAAGCATCTAAATCATTCTGAACTTCAACTTTCATTTGTCCCTGAATCGCCGGCTACAACTGTCCGGCTTTACCTGGAAAAAGAACATTTTATGATCCATTTTACTGCGCACAGCCGGCCCTGTCTGGCACCAGGAAGATTTTGTTACATAGATGTAAAACTGTTACATAAAAAAGCCGTTAGAAAATGTACGATGGCCCTAAAAACACTTTGCATGTCATTAAAAGGCCAGGACAGGGTGAGGGTTTTATGGATCCATATTGCCCTGCTATGGTAACTGCTCTGTTACGTGGTGCCATTTCTGATGGCCTTGGTCTTTACAGTTAGAGCCCTGACCATATATGGAAAGCACCTCTTAGTGAAACACTTAGAGAAGTGAGACTTCCTGCATATGAAGCCTGTATAGCTGTGTTGGCGAAAATTGTGGAAACACTTGTCCACAACAACCTTAATAAGAAAGGATAAAAAAAAAAAAAACCCGAATTATCTATTTGATCATTTTGATAATTTTCTTTAATTTTTTTATTTTTTTTTTTAGCCTAAGGTCTTTTAAAGATTTTATTTTACAAGTTGTTGTTTTTTTGCATGCTAAGCTTAATGATTATAATACATCATAGGGTCTTAGTGTGTCCTATTTAAAGGTTTTAGAAAACAATTTTAAAATTAAGAAAATATCTAAACCGTTCAACCTATTTTTTTTGTATTTCTCCTCTTGATTCTAAAAGTATATTTTATTTGAATTTCTTGGGACAGAGGAAGTAGTCTATAAAATCATAATGAAGTGAATATTGGATATGTAAAATAATATAGTGTGCATATTGTGTATCTCTCTTTACTCTGTTAAAAGTTTGACATCGGTGTCATCTTGCTGTCTTTGCTCTTTGGAACATATTTAAATTGTATCAACCTGCCTTCATTTTATTCTCATTATAATTACTTTGCATAGGTTTTTACTGAAGTTTGCCATTTAGATCCATTTGGCCTCCCTGACAATACTCTTCCTAAATAAACTGACATGTCTGCAGTTACACCAGCGAAGTTTTTTTAATTTGTCTATTAGCTTTGCACATTAAGGAAATGACAAGTTTTTTTATTCTTTTTTGCTAAATAGTTCAAGCTGAGGATAAATACTCTAAAGTGTAAATACTCTAAGGTCAAAATCGCAACCTTAGAATTATAAACAACTCCATGATAGATGATAATATCGAAATAAAAATACACAGAGGCTAAGAATTGTGTTAAGACAAAAAGTTATAAAAGTTCAAGTGCTAAATACTTCTACAAGCTAATGTTTAGTAAAGTTGTTTAACACTTACAATCTATAGCAGAGCTCTAGGACACATTTGTTTTATGTACTTGGTGTCCAAGAACCACCATGCTGAGAGTAGCACAGTAGAATTAAAACTTTCTTCATAAAGAAGGAAAAAAGAAAAACACACTATAAGATCCATTGGTGCTTAAAATTCAGTCAACTGATATAGATAAACTTTGCTTTTCTTATTTAATTTCTAAGTCACAATTTCTTAACTTAAAATTGAATAGTAAACGAGAATATAACAGTTCATTCCAGTTTTAAAGGTGTTGTGGAGGAGTTTCGCAAATTTTTTAAAAGACCTGCCCTCTCCACTTAAAAAAAAAAAAAAGTACATGCACAACCTTGTACCCACTCCTAAGAGGGTACGTCTATTAAATGCATACAAGAGCAGGCACAAGCCCATTTCTCCTCGTGCATGCTCTGTTTAAAAGTTATTTGCATCATTCATACAAACTTAGTTTCCAAAAAGAAGATTTGCAATTTTCCCACTAAGTGAAAATGGGGACGAGCATGAGGACCGCCTTACATAAACATATTACAAGAATTGACAATTAGGAGAAGCACTTATTTAGATGATCCATCTGGAAATAAAAGATCATCCTGTATACCTTTAAGTTAGGCTAAATAACAAAGCCAGACTTCAAAATCTGATAACCCTACTAAATATTTGAAACAGTAAAAACTACAGAATTCCTTCTTTCAATTATTTATTGTTTACCAACCTCAAAAAAATCTCTGTTGCAAAGATATTTTTAAGGCTACGATGAATTAGCATGAGTAATTAATTTGTTTAGCTGTTTGCGCTTCTTATTCTCATGCTTAACTGGTTTGCTATATTTTGGATAGAAAGAAGTAAACTTAGTAAAATGATTAAATGTTGTGTTTCTTTACTACTTTAAGAACCCCTGATATATAAGATACAGCTACAGAAATGTGAGAGTGATCAGATAAGTAGGTAATCAACATGGTAGGGCAATGTGACATGTATTTTATGATTATAAAATACCCGGACTGAAAAGCTATTTTAAAGAAGCATCATTTCCAAAGCCATTACAACCAGAAATAGGTCTTTACATTTGGACCACAGAGTAGAAAACTAACAGGTGATGTGTTGGAAATCTTAAATTGTATGACATCCTTGGAACACTTATTCCCAGCCATCACTTTAGTTCAAGCAACTTTTTCCTCAGTTTTATATAAATCTTAATCTCTGGCTCTTCCCTTTCTGAAGACAAATGTGATCAATATCTTACTTTCCTGCAGCTACTGTGCTCTACCTAAATATGACTCCTGAGCACAGAAAGAAGTCATTAAGCTATTGCAAATATTTGTCACTCTGTAATGCAATGATAAACTCGTGGGTGGGGGCTGTATATCTCTATGATGTTAGACAGAAATATTTCACTTGATTTATTTGGTTGGATCACAGATCTCTATAGAAAATATTAGCTATTGCCAGTTAAGAGGAGGTGTTTAGCAGATTTGGGTTAGAACTGACAATAATTGACCTTACCTGCAAGCTAAGTTCTTGCAGTAGTTTTGCACTCTCAAACACACTAGACATCATCTTGTCCAGCTTCAGATTTGAGATCGACCCAAACTGGGTACAGTCAACAAGAAAATCCCAACAGAATGCACATATAGCTGCTGCTATCACATTGGTTTTGTCAGGATGCACAATTTAATTTTTTGAAAGAGAAACAGCAGGAGCACTGAAGCGTATATTTTAGGTTTTTTCTGATGCCTTTGGTGCTTTTTATTATTGTTGTTGACCAAACTTTGCTAAGTGGGTATCCCTTAGCCAAGAACATCTGCCGAATGTCCCTGCTTTCCTAGAACAGTTTAAATCATAGGATTCCCAGAGTGATAACCTGTAAAACTCATCCTGAAAACTAGACATAGTTAATCTAGCTTGCCAGGTTAACTAAAGATAAAAATTCAGATCATGATTTATTTGACCAGCAGTCTTTTTTACGTTGACAACAATGTGAAAATCCAAAGATTAAAGGGTCAAAAAGCTGCACCTTTTTCATCCAAACAATACATTTCTGAAAAAAAAAACTCCACAGAATATTTAGAATGGTGCAGAATGAAGATATAAATTGTACTGGAAAAATACATATATTAATTAGAATTCTATACATTTCAACTAGGAAGAGTTAAACTTGTAGCTACCTCTGTTAAAGAAACCAAATTAATACTTATATATGGGAAAATGACAACACTTTCCTGCATAAATTTTCAAGATTTTGCTTACTTAACAGAGTCAAGGTTGTCTCTCAAACAGAGTGACAATGCGTTCCACTTGAAATGAAATGATCCACTTAAACTGTGGGGGATTCTGAAAGATGATTGGCTTCGGAGGAGGTGTGGTCCTAGGATGATTGGCTGGGACTGGAACAGTTACATCATCAGTTGTAATGGTGAAGAATCTTCCAGATTGAATTATTGGTTAAAGGTATAGAGGATGATCTTTTATTTCCAGGTGGATCATCTAAATAAGTGGTCATCCTAGTTGTCAATCATTCTGGTGATATGTTTAGGTAAGGCCATCCTATGTGCTAGTCCTGTTAGCTATCTTGATCTGCAGAAGCGCACTTTCAGGCGTATATCTGTGGTGAGGTACAGTTTCAGACAGCCATTGAAGCTCATCTTTCTCAACGTGGTACTTTGAAAATGGCAGAGTTTCGTAAAAGAAAAAGTGTCTACGAAATGTATGAGAAGAGAAGAAAGGCCTCAGAAGAGACAGATATATCCCAGAATGCTTGATATATCCCAGAATGCTTGATATATCCCAGAGAGGGAGGAGAGCTATCCTCGCAAAGCATTATGGGATTTGCTGTCACAGAATCCAGCTGTCACCATAGACTGCTGCTACCCGACAGCGGCAACTAATAACAAAGATTGCACAGGCACCGCACAGTAGACCAACGGGGAAGTGATCATCTGTCTGAACGCTAGGTTGACTGAGTTCACTATAAAGTCCTTGCTGTATATAGTGATTGAGGAATTTAGGGGTTAGGGTGGATGTGCAAGTGCAGTAAGCTTTTATGAGATATCAGAACAGTAACTTTCAAACAGAGTGTTTTCTTTCTTTCTTTTTTTCTTTCTTTCTTTCTTTCTTTCTTTCTTTCTTTCTTTGTTTCTTTCTTTGTTTCTTTCTTTCTTTCTCTTTCTTTCTTTCTTTCTTTCTCTTTCTTTCTTTCTTTCTTTCTTTCTTTCTCTCTCTCTCTCTCTCTCTCTCTCTCTCTCTCTCTCTCTCTCTTTCTCTCTTTCTTTCTTTCTAAAAAAACAGCAGCACCAAACTTTTACCCTGTCTGAAAATATGTGCCTCCAAATGTGTTGACTTCCTGGTGACTCACAATAAAACAAATCTGCACTATCGACTTTTAAAATAGTAGTAAATTATTAAAGGTCTGACTTTAAAAAAATACACTCGCGTATACAAAATGACGAAATAAATCAGTCTCTCTCTCTCTCTCTCTCTCTCTCTCTCTACAAAAACATAAATGTAAACTGATGGTTTTTAAGTAAACTAACAGCTAACCTAAATACAATATCCTTTATGTTTTATTAAAAGAAATTTGAAACCTAAGATTTTGACATTCTTTGTATACTGCTGAACACACATAATATAATGAGTTATACAAAGAAATTTAAATCACCTATTTAGAAAAAAAGATCAGTTGTACAAGAAAACATTGATACTGTATCCATTTGCTTCTTTACCTTGCATGAGCAAACAGCACAACGATCATAGGTTGGTCTCCAATCTTCTCCATTGCGTCTTATAACGTCTTCTTGTGGACAGTTACCGCTGCAGCCTGGACCAGATGTGCACATGCAGTCATAGCCTCCTGGGAGGTTCACACAAACACTATTGTTCCAGCAGGTGTGTGTCTGCAAAATGCACTCATCAATGTCTGAAAGACAGAAAATAAGGCCTCATACATAAATAAACAGGATTGATAGCTATAATATGCAAATATAATTTGTGCATGTGATATTTCAAAATAAGAGGAGCTGTACAGATGGATGCAATATACATCAAATTAGGACTGCTACACAGCAACCTGTACACTTGTATGTGTGTAGCAGGCTTTCAAGGCTCAGGGAACATTTGCAGGTGTTCTAAGTTAATCAGCTGATCATGGCATCACCCTACATGCACCCAAAAATCAGCTTTACACTAATTTTAACTTTCTCAAATACAAAATATTTGGGGTTTTAATACCGCTAGCATATAATCATCAAAATTATAATAAATTAAGATATAAATTACTTACTCTAAATGTATTAAATCTACATACTAGGTTATGATTTCTAAAAAAAGGAAAAACATTTTTTTAGATGTATCTCGTTAC